ATATATATATATATATATGCATCAGTTAGCTATCATTTTCACAGAACAGAATAATTGTGAAAAAATAATGAAGAAGGTGTGAAAGATAGAACTTAAATAAGAAAGCTAGAGAAAAATGAAAGGAAAAAATAGATGAGAGAAAGGTTTTGTTTGCTGATTTGACTTTTATTACTCCTTTATCACTTTGATCTCAGAGCGAGTGAAGTTTTATTTTTTTTTTATATTTTATTTGGTGGGAGGTGGGTGATGCTACAAAGGAAGGAAGATATATTGACTACAGTTTTCAACTAATGAGATTTAAAAAATGGTGCGATTTGATAAATGTTTCTGTTATCAACAAATGACTCACTCAGATTCTTAAAATAATCAACCATTGTTCCCACATTCATCATTTATTATGAGAAAGTTAGTTTTACTTTTGTTTTTTTGTAATTTTTACACTTTCTTTGTGTGACACAACGAGAAGCATTTGTACTTTAAAACACTTTTTAATCTTAAGAAGCAGAATGAGAAATAAGATTTGCAAACTAAATCATACTTTTCAAACACTTTTTAAGGATGAAATATAAAGCAAGTTATTTTTAAAAGCTCGACAAAGGATTATTTTAAAAATATTTTTGAAACAAATTTAAATTTAAAACCTTTGATAAGCATATTTTACAAAATCAAGTTTTTTAAGCCTAAATGATTATACAAGAAATAAGATATTATTTTTGCTTTATAAAAATGTACAAGAGAACGACTTTTTTATATTTTAAAAACTAAAAAATTCAATATTAAGAAATAAGGTCAAAAATTCATTTTAATGAATCACATTTTTTTTATTTCTGTTAACTATTTTTTTAAAGTACATGATATGCCTCCTGCCAAAAAATAAGCATTAAAAACTTTTTTAATATCAATAAAAACAAATAAAAACATACAGATTGTTTTCAAGAAAAATAGAAAAAAAAACTGAAGATAATAACAGCTGAACTTTTAAAAAGTATACAATATACATGGCCGAATAACAATGCTTACAAATTGTAAGAAAAGTAAGAAAAGAATTCTCTCAAATATTGTTTCAAATTTTTGCGTATAAAATGTTTGTATAAAATCAAGTAAAAATTTGACTCATTTTTTTCCTATATAAATCAATAATTGTCTATCACAAACGTTTACCAAGTTCATAAAGAAAAAAAAATCTTAGTGATTTGCGCTGTAACCAAATTTTTATAGATTTGATTTGACAACCACAGGATTTCTGAAATGAAATTCAATAATCCACCACTGCTGAATTTATTTTTCAAACGAATATTTCATGATTTGCATAACACGGTATACAAAATATAGACTATTTTTCACAAATTAAAATGCAATCATTTTTTTTTTTCATTTTTAAGCTTCAGTATATAAATAATTTTTTACTTTTTTGTTTTAATTCCAAAAAGGATTTCTGATTTAAATTTATTTTTCAAAACTTTAACAAGCGATTTATAAACATAAAATAAAAATATTTAAAAATCGCTTTATTAAATTATTTAAAGATATGGTTTTTACTTTTTAAAACTAAGTTTTAATTGTTCAAAACCCGGTCTAACACAAAACACTAACTACAGTAAGGCGTAAGCTAAGCTTGAAAAGAAGTTAAAAAAAAACAAAAAAAACATTGACATTCATTACGTCCTGTATGAGTGAAAATAATAAAATTTTCAAAAAATTACAAATATCCCTACAAACAACCCATTCTTAAATACCAATTTATTTGCTTACTTATTCTATATTTGGTATTTTGGTGCTTGTTATTAAAGCAGAAATGTGAGCCAAGAAAGTGAAAGTTTTACTTTTTAAAAAAAGTCTGGTTAATTTTCTACTTTTAAAAATTAAATAAAATGGTTAATTACTTGGATGGAACATATCAGTCAATGCAATGCAATGGTAATTAGCAAACATTTTCTTTTATGGACACGAGAAGTACACATGGATACACACAGTTTCATTCATTCATAGAATCATAAAATAAAAATCATGCTCGAGCCCTAAAAAGGCTTTTTTTAATGTGGAGAAATAAATTTAACCAAGCATCTGTTCTAACTTTATCACATATAATTTATTTTTTATTTATGGAGTATTAAATAAATGATTTGTCAAACAAAGACAAAAATAAAAATGAAATTTTAAAGGTTGGGTAAATAAATAAAAATGTAATTTTAAAAATTCAATTCAATATGTAAAGGAAGGGTCAACTTCATGATCTTTCTTTATTTACTTAAAGAAAAAGTTAAACTTAATCTTTGCTTTGTTACATGTACAAATTCTTTCTTTAAAAAAAGCTGTTAAAAATGTAATTGTAAAGTTGTTGAATTAGTCATAAAAAATATCGGTATATTATTATTTATTTACTTAACGAATATAAATTCTAAGTATTTTATGTTCACTTAGCTAACAAATGTAGTTTTCCCCCATTGTTAGTTAACATATTTGCACAAAACTACGAACAAAGCCCATACATCATTTACTACTGATAGTCATATCTGGATGGGCTTGTCAGTTCTCATGGATTTAATTTACAACAGTTTCTTTGGAGATTTATGCAAATGGAAAAACAAATAAAAGAATAAACTTACTAAATAAGATCATAAGATAATTTTCCATCTAACCAGTTTCTTACAAACTGTTAAAATTTTAAAAAGCTAATCAATGCAGAATAAAGTTAAGAAAAAGAAAGTACTTTTTTTGGTAGCAAGACGCTTTTAAATATTTGAAATAAATTCTGTTTTATTTATGTCATTAAAATAACATTCTTCTTTTAATCTTAAACTTTAAGTTTCATTTATTTTTATTGAACAATTTTTATTTTATTTCTTTCAGTTTTACTTTTAAAATTCCTTTTTAACAACTGTAATCAAATGGAGTTTTAAACCACAAAAATAAATTTTTTTTTAATTTATAATATTGTCTAATTCTCACTTAATTCTTATGAAGCTAAAAAAAAAAATTTCCTTTTTAAAACGTGCATTTTTTAGACCATTAGAGAAACAAGTAATATTCAACATTAAAAAATTTAATTTAATAATCTTTTTCTTTTACTGCCTCAACAAAATAAATGTTTTTGATTTTTTTTACTCTTCTAGTTTTCTCCTTTCTTTATCTGATCTATTATTAAACTCAACAGTTATTCAACAATAAGAAATAAGATATCGTAAATATGTAACCGCATAATAATAAATAATACTCGCCAAAACTGTCACTGTCGCCAGGTGAGATTGGTTTTAGGTTACAACACAAAATTGAAAATTAGCCATTATTCCTTAGCAACATGTGTTAAATTTGACAATCGAGAAATCAAACAGAATTGCATTGCCTTAGTTTTAGGTTCTCCTTTTTTTTAATAATTTTAAAAAAATGCACATTTAAAGATATACACAAAATAGAAATGAAAATAAATTTCCATGAATAAAAATAATTAATCTTTCACTAGAAAACCAAATTAACTAAAAAACTAACACAAATAAAAAAAAAGCGATCAATAACGTTTAATGTTTATAAACTTTAAAACCGACCATAAAGTTCAGTTTTAAAAGAGTAAACTTTGTCTGACCTTAAAAAATAATAATAATTATTTACAACTTTGACATTTTAGATCAATCAATAATAATAATCTTTCCTTCATGTTTTTTTTACTATAAATTAATTTATAATTCATGATTCTTGAATTTGTTGAGATCCCAATTTCTCCGCCGTTTTAAAAATGAATGAAAACAACTCTTACTCGATTTTTTTTTTATGCAATAGAGAATTTTTGTTTTAGTTATTTTTTGTACTTGATATCTGTCTTCTTAATTTTGTGGTCAGATCTGGAGCAAAAACAAGACAAAAAATTCAAAGAAAAAAAGAAAGGTCATTGCCACAGAAAAAAAGTTAAGATTGTTTTTATTTTAATAAAATAAATATACTTTGGATTGGAATATGAATGATTGATATAAGTAATAGAACTTTACCGTTGGAGAAATAAAGAAAACTTTACATAACGATAAGAAAAATGAAAACAAAAAGAAATCGCGCTTTAAAAAAAACAATATTTTTTTTACTTTCTTGCCTACAGTAAATTTTAAGATAAATTTCCAAAACTTCTTGAATAGAAAGAAAAAATTATTTTCATTACAAAACTTCTGGTAGGATTTTAAAATTATTTTTATTATTTTCTTAATTTGACCAAAATGCGTTTACTTTTTTTAAAAAACTTTTTTTTTTTTAAAATACAATTGATTCTAGTTGTGACCTCCAAAAATATAATAATAAAATTTAAATACTGATGTCCGTCCGTAATAATAATAGGAAATGTGATTTTTTTTTTTTTAATATAATAATAATCGATTTTTTTTTTAGTTTCGGTTTTCTTCATTTTTCAGTTGCTTGATTATTGATAAAAATCTAATTTACATTTATCATTATTTATTATAAATTTTATAAATAAATATAAATATAAAAAGAAAGCAGGAATTTTGTTTTATTACTTTTATTTATTTTCTACATAATTTGTAACTAGGAAGAAAAAAAGATAGAAAGAAGCCATGAAAGTGAATCTCACACGTACACAAATCAACAAGAACATCACTGTCTCTACATTTTCAACAAATACGTTCATTTGTGTGTGTTTATAAGCAATAAAATAACTCAATCCAGAAAATTTCCTCAAAAATGAAAAAAAAATATAACAAACGATGAAAAAAAAATGGTTGAAAAAGAAAGACCGTTTTCTTATTAAAAAAAAAAAAAAACTATATTCCGTTTAACCAACAAAAAAACAATTTCATCGCAACCGCCCCTCAACATACTTTCTACTTTTTTTTTTTTAATTGCGTCCTAGCAGTTTTGCACCTTTTTCACTTCTTACCTAAGTAAAGTAAGTATTGTTGATTATTATTTATCTATTATTACTTATATAGTTGTTAAATTACTTGAACGATTCTTTTAAATAAGCAAGGCGATCGTTAAAAAAAAAAAGTATTCATTCTCACCCTTTCTCGTCCTTTTGTCGATTCATGGCGAATAAAAGTTATAAAAAACTTTGTAACGTCCGTTATGTCTTCTTTTCTGCTGTTTTTATGGATGGATTTAGAGGCAAAAGATTCTTCTTGTTCGTTCGTCCGTTTTTTCCCCCAACTTGTTGCAACTTGATTAGCGTCTCGCACTTTCTTTTTTTCTTCTTCTTCTTTTCCCACTTTCTTGTCCTCCCCATCTGCTTTCTCTTAGTCTATCACCCTTTTTTTAACCACCCTCTCTTTACTTAATAATACTCTTTCGTTCCTTTCTCTCTCACGCTCATCTTCACCTTTTTATTATTTTTTTAGCGTTGCCCAGTCTCTTTCTTTTTTCACCGTTGCTCACACTCTCTTTCTTTTTTCACTTTCTGCATCTACTCTTTCACTTTTATTCTCTGAACCTAATGTTACTCTTTTACTTTTCTCACACTTTTTCTCTCCCACCTAGTTTTACACCCTCCCTAACTGCTTTTTACTCTTTCTCTCATTTTGCACCGCAGTTAGTTTTTTTGTCCGTCTTTCCCTCACTTCTTCTTTAAACTTTTTGCTTTTTCAATCCGTTAGCCATTCTCTTCTTCTCTTACTGATTTCTTACCGTTTTTTTTTAAATTAAACTTTACTCTCTTTCCTTCTCATCGTGTCTCTCAACAAATATGACATACCAAGTGAAAATGTAACGTTATGATCAGTACTAGTCGATATTATTTAAGAGAACCATAAATCCTTACAGTGCTTTCTTTATTTATCGTATAGTTTTTTACTTTTTTTCTGTCTGTTTTACCTACGTACTTATTTACTCAGCGCTCACTCCCTCTCTCTCCCTCCCTCCCTCTCTTTCTTTCTTTCTTACGAGTTTTTTTCTTCTACTTTTTACTATTTGTTCTTTACTTTCTACTTTTTTTTATCCTTTTTTTTGTGTCATTCATTTACTCATTCATTCTTTATTCCCTCTCTAATTTAATTCATCGCTCTTTTTTTCACTCTCAAGTCTCAACCTTATGTTTTTTCCCTTTCCTTTTTTTGCCCATCTTCCTCTCTTTTCTCTATCTTTTCTATCCCTGATGTTCTCATCTTTGTTGATTAATTACTCTCCTCAACTTCCCACACGCCTTTTTTTTTTACCCTTTCTTATCACTCTTTCTTTCTGTTTATTCATTTTGACTTCTTTGAGTTTTATCTCATCTTCTTTAATCTTTGCTATTCGTGTCTTATTGCGCACTTCACTACAGCTAGGATTTTACTTTCATTCTTTGATAATTTTTTTTTATTATTCATTTATTTATTCATTTCTTTTCTCACTCCCCCCACCTCTTTATTTCGTTGTGGACATGCTCGTTAAATGTTTTGCAGACCAGCTCGGTCCTGCTCTGAATTAAGTGGCGTCATACATCTTGTGGCCTTGTGCCAGACAAAGTTAAACTTGCTTGTAACTTTTATATTGTATATCTACTTACTTACATTACCATGGAACGACGTTTCGTAAGTTAGTCTTGCAAGCTATTTACTCGCACTGTGGAGCGTTTGATCTTTACTAGGATACCCCACACATGTGACCTTATGTCAGACTACTTTTTCTTTTCTTAATAAATAACTTCTTTTTGCTATCTTCGGCTCATTTGATTTACAACCTCTTTCTTTTATCCTCGCCCTTTCCTACCTCCCTTAATTTTTCTCATTCTTTTCTTCTATTTCTTTTTCTTGCTTGACTTAGTCTTATCTTTTCCCTCACTCAAATATTCATTCTGTCTGTTTTTCTCTTTGCTTTCTCTACTGAAATGTTTACTTTCCTTGTTTTCACCCCTTTTTTTTTTTATTTTCACACTCTCTCCTTCAAAACTCCCTCTTATTTTTACCATCACACCACTCTCCCTTTCACCAATATTTTTATTTTATTACATTTTCTCTCTCTTTTTCTCTCTCTTTGATTTTTACCTTCTTTCTCTATTAACATTTTACTTTCTTTTTTTGCACTTCTCTTTTACTGACTCCAATTACCCACTCTCTAATTTTTAACAGTTCTCTCACGCTGCAATTCTTTTCACCCTCCCTTACTATTTTATGGTTTCTTCCTTTTTTCTCCCATTCTTTTCTTTTATTTCTCCCTCGTTCTCCATCTTTTAATGTTCAGTTCATATATCTTTTTAATTTTCTATTACTTTCCGACCTTCCGCTCTTTACTCTTTATTTTTTTTTTTTTATCTTAACCACCTTCATACATTCTCTTTTTCTTTCTTTTTTCTTCTTTTCTCCTCTATTTATATAAATTTTTGTCATGTTTTCTTTATTATCTCGTTTGATCCTTCCCCCTTTACTTTTTACATCACAGCTTGCTGTTTCTATACAAATAAATCTAAAAAAAAAAACCTTTAGCCTAAAAGCCTCATTTAAAAAAAAATTATTCCGAATGTTACAATATATTCATTGCTGATGTCAAAACTATTATAAATTTATTGAATAAATTTAAAATACCATTAATAATTGTATATTTAATTCATTCAATTAATTAATAATTTCACATCATGTCAGATAGGAAATGTTTTTATGCTCAAATATTTTACTTCAGTCAACTGGGAGCAAAATTGATATGAAAACATGAGCAACAATATACCATTTAAGACAAATCCAACATTTTTATACAATGGATAAATAATTTATCCATTGTAAATTTATTTATCAAACTATTTACCCAGATATATATATAAAATTGATAAAAATAAATAGTAAGTGAAAGACCAGTAGATCTTTCACACCTCCAAAAACCTAAAAGATATTTTCCTGTGCACGGATGGATGTAGTCAGAAATAAATCATTCGTTAACTTAGACATTTAGATGCAATAGCATAAACAGTATGTGGACGTAGTTTCAGTAAAATTACCAAACTAGTAAATCAGAATTAAGGAGTCAACATTGGCTATTCAAACAGAAGATCAAGAATCTAAAATTGTTTTCAAGATGAGCCTATCTCTACTGATACAAGCAGAGGAGGATTGGCATTTGAACAGCGGTATAGTGACAATGGAGATACAACCATATCGACAGACCAGAAATAACACATCTGCTCAACACATTGACACCATAAAATTTCACTCACTGCTCTTGGATAAGTAATTTGACACGAGAACTAATACCTCGTGTGGTTGATAACTGGATTTATTTGTACATACAAGCTTTGCATGCTAAAATCAAAAAAGCTTACACGTGTGATTTATGACCGGTGCTTGCCATTCACACAATGAACCAATTGCTCTGACAGAGACTCATCCTTTCTCTTTTCCGCAGCGCCAGTGTTCTGCCTAATAGTTATTGTTTATTCTATATATTCATGTTTTTGTTTATTCACATTTCTATAGTTACAGGCATTGCTACCTCTATAATAACACAAGTCGTAGCTATTACACCCTCTACAGATCTTAAAACTAGTTCAATAATTAATATTTTAGATTTGAAATCTGAAGTCTTTAAATGAACTGTTCATCTTTAAATGTAAAATCCATTGTACATATGTGCCTATTTTTAAAACTGTGCCTGTTATTAAAAGTTGATTTAAAAAAGATGGAATGTGAATGTTTTCAATGTATTATTTATATCTTCAACATGAAAGATTTCTTTCTTTTTTTTTATTGATCATTTATGCAGATTTAAACATTCATATGTTTTTGCTTTTCTTTTATTTTTTAACTATTTGGATTATTCTAGATACATATATGATAAAGCGTTATATAATAGATGCTTTCTTATATAATAGACTCTTTTAGACAGTTACTGCCCTCTTCAGGATACAACTGGTATGAAATGTTTGACTCACAAATCATAGATCTTGAATATCTGCTTCTTATGGAGTAACCTCATGGCTTTCCATCCCTGTAAGCAGAAGAGGTCTGTATGAATGATAGGATTGTAACTTCTGGCTCATGACAGTCATGTATAGTTCTTATATTTTGATCTATCTCAGGGCTAGTGTATGCTACCCCAAAATCACCCTGACCAGGAGGAAAATCTGATTGGGCTCCCTGGGCAGTGCTTTATGACCCTTGCTATCTTATCAACATTTGCTTTATTTCTACCTATGTTTGTATACATTATAAATTAAGCTAAGCACAACTGTCTACTAAAGGATGAAAAATCTTTGCAGATTTTGACGTTGTCCTGGGGACTTCTTTTTTTTTTTTTTATCCAAATCTGTGAATTTGTTTTGCTCATGCTAAGTTTAAAAAAAAAAAAACACTATATAAAATTCATTGTTTTTCATCCTAATGTTGAATGTGTTACAATTATTAAATTTTTTAATAAAAAAAATTTCAACTTGAAGTTAAAAATTGCCACAAAACCTTGATTTTATTAAAATGAGATGTCTCTAATTTGTATTTAGATTGCATACGATCTATTATTGCACATAATTAGATTGCAATACAATTTGTATTTTATAAGAATGCTACCTTATGAAAAATGAGATATAGAGTGGGGGAGTTGTATCATAGATTCAGAGGGGGACATGAGACACTTACACCATCCCTGATTTCTCTTATTATATGCAAATTTTCTTGTGAAAGGCACAAAGCCCAAACTTTCAGCAACAAATACAAAGTGGCACTGAAAATTTTCAATCCACCCAAGAAGAGAAATAAAAAAAAGTATTCCGATGTTTGGTCAAATTTTGAAAAAAAATGGGTTAGTCCAAGAACTCTCATATTAGCCATAACAACCAATGCCTCTATCTACCAATACCAGATTGAATAATTCATTTTCATGGCATTTCTCAGATCAGTGGGGATTACTTGATAGTGACCAGCTTTTCTCCAAGTCAGTGTTGGATTAATTTAACTTCCTTTTTCTAATTAGTAGGTACATCACTTGGTTGGGCATGTGACCCTTAATGACCAATCAGTGATGCCAAGTCTGTACAGAGAACAATTCTGTGGTAGCTTCTGTGAAGAGAAGATGCTTTCCTGAGTAAAACACCAACTCTTGAAATATAGTATGCTGGGCTTGTGAGTTAAGACAGACTTTTTGTAACATCCACTAGCTTTTCTTTTTAGGGTCCGAGAGAAGGCATGTAATACATTTCTACACTTTGTATGTTCTCCTTTCTAGAAAATAAAACCTCCATTCACATTCTTCTGACTTATCCCTATCTGTCTTTATTTTAAATGTTTGGGTAAATATCTATACCTACAGCAGATACTATGGCCACTCACAAGGTTTACCAAATATATGTGTATCACATTCCAATCAAATGCTTAAAATATGCTGGTAGCCAAGCGTATATGGACTAGACAAAATTACAAATTTTACATGGTACGATCAGCAAAGAGTAATCCCTGAACTCTATAGTGAAACCTTCTTCTTTATGCACTGTGTACCCTTAGGATGTAGGCGATCATGGCTCTCCACAACTTCTTGTCCCTTGTAGCTCTTAATAAACTTTGTCTTTCTGATATTTCTTCTAAGCCCTATTCCGTTATTCATTTACTGAAGCTCACTAAGTTATGCATTGTTTTTTTACACTGTCCATCTTGCCCTCTATCTGCCCTGTTAGTATCAGATTTTCCGAGCCCTCCTTCCTCATTATGTGTACCCAGAAACCTCAACTGTCTTTTCCTGATGTTAAGTAGTAGTTTCCTTTTAGTTTCCATTTTCTCCAAAACTTTATCATTAATCACATGTTTGGTCTATGGTGTACTTCTTTTATGTGGTGAGTCCCTTCAGGACATAGGCATTCATGGCCCTCCAGCACCTCTTGTCTCTTATAGCTAGTTTAGTCTTTTTGTTATTTCTCTCAGACTTTGTTCCACCGTCCACCTGATCAAGCCCATTAAGTATATCACACGTTAATTTCCCTTGTCCCGCTTTCCCTCTATCTGTCCTGTGAGTATCTGATTTTCCAAGCCCTCCTTTCTCATTACATGTCCCAGAAATTTCAGCTGCCTCTTACAGATGTTAAGTATAAGTTTCCTCTTTGGTTCTATTCTCTCTAAAACCTCATCGTTGCTCACATGTTCGGCCCATGGTATCCTTAGCATCCTTCTGTAGAGACACACTTCTGTTGCTTCAAGTCTCTTCATCTTTGAAGAGATTGTCCAGTATTCACTGCAATATAGGAGGACAGGTATCACATGTAGCAGTTCAGTACTCTTTCCTTATAGGAAACCAAAAAAAGTTCTCAAGTTTATTCTTTACTTTCATGTTGTTATTGTCTTACCCACATGCTAAAAAATTATGCTGATATGTCAATTTTAATGCCTCCAATTGAAACTACTCTTTTTTGATCATCTGAGAGAACCTTTTTTACCTTCTATCTGCATGGCTGATGCTAACCTCCAAAAGAGTGATTCCTTGCGCATACTCCAAAACATTTCCACTGACATGAAGTAGAAAGATTATATTGAATCAATTGCTAGGTCTGCTGTGAGGAAAGTTGGATTGTGCTAGACAATATTTCTTGCCAGAATCTATCTTACATATTTATAAGTCTAATATTCACCCAGGCATTGAATATTGCTGCCACATCTAGTCTAGTGCTTCTACTAGATATTTATAGATTTATAAAAACCAAAGAAGAATCTGCAATTTTACTGGTCCTGACCTGATATTTCAGCTTCGGCCACTTTCTCACCACCATAACATCCCTTCTCTCTGTCTTTTCTATAAATATTTGCATGGTATTTGTTTTGCTGAGCTCCAGGGAACACCTTTTATTTATTACCAACTATGCAAGGCAGACCAATAACCTTAATATACATTGATTAATAAAATAAAAATGAGACGTTTATTTCAAATAAGAAATGCTCACTATAATAAAGTTTGAAGTAATAAAAAGATATATATGGATCCACCTTGCATTTATATATATGTGGATTTGTAAGTACTAATACTTCTAGTACTGAGACTTTTCACACTAGTATTAACTTTCATTGGACATCATTTCTATATGAACTGGAACCAATAATAACAACAAAGATGAAGATATTAGTCCAAATGTAAATAGTGGAAATAATGATAACTTCTCATCCCA